ACCAAATAAAAGGAAGTTTCTTGGAGTGCAAGACAATTATCCAAAGAAAGCTTCTTCATCATCAAGGCAACTCCAACTACTAGCTTCCCAACCACCTTATTTAATGTAACATCAAGGCAATTCCAACAACTAGCTCCCCAACCATCTCATTTAATGCATTGGATTCCTACTCCTCTTACATGTTCTTGTCATTTAATGTCGTAGTTGAGAATTCTAGCCTATATAAAGGCCTTGTAATGCATCATTTGTAATCAGACTTGTAGAATGTCACAAACATTTCGAGTTTTATAAACTCTTCTTCGGTTTGTCCAAAATTTATCCCGATCTTCGGTGTGTCCGAGATCACGAGTTTGGTGTGTCCGAACTCAGGCCTTGGTATGTCCGAGGTCCACTACCGTTTGCTTTCCCTTCGATCCATTCCATTTCCCTATCTTAGTTTTGAATTCGAGAGCCTCTTAGAGCCGGTGATGGAAACTAAGATCGATCAAATTCCCCTTCGTTTTAACCACAATCCGAATGCGAATTCGAGAGCCTTCTCCGTGAAATGCGGGTGATTGCATTTCGGATCAGATTCCATCCTCTCCGAGCCTAGGCGTGTATCATTTTGGTATCAGAGCTTGCTCGAGCCAATGGACGTCTAACCCCGGTGAGATCTATCCTTTATTTCAGTTTATTTCGTAAATAAGTTTTGAGGGCAAAACCCGGAGAAGCGAGAGGGAATGATGAGGACAAAACTTCTGAAGAGACAGGGAATGATGAGGACATCGGACCCAACAACATCTCGAAACGAAGATATTGACGGAAGCATACCTCGGAGCGAAGCCACCAAGTAAAAGGAAGTTTCTTGGAGTGCAAGACAATTATCCAAAGAAAGCTTCATCATCATCAAAACAACTCCAACTACTAGCTTCCCAACCACCTCATTTAATGTAACATCAAGGCAATTCCAACAACTAGCTCCCCAACCATCTCATTTAATGCATTGGATTCCTACTCCTCTTACATGTTCTTGTCATTTAATGTCGTAGTTGAGAATTCTAGCCTATATAAAGGCCTTGTAATGCATCATTTGTAATCAGACTTGTAGAATGTCTCAAACATTTCGAGTTTTATAAACTCTTCTTCGGTTTGTCCGAAATTTATCCCGATCTTCGGTGTGTCTGAGATCACGAGTTTGGTGTGTCCGAACTCAAGCCTTGGTATGTCGAAGTCCACTACCCTTTGCTTTCCTTTCGATCAATTCCATTTCCCTATCTTAGTTTTGAATTCGAGAGCCTCTTAGAGCCGGTGATTGAAACTAAGATCCATCCAATTCCCCTTCGTTTTAACCACAACCCGAACGCGAATTCGAGAGCCTTCTCCGTGAAGTGCGGGTGATTGCATTTCGGATCAGATTTCATCCTCTCCGAGCCAAGGCGTGTATCATTTTGGTATCAGAGCTTGCTCGAGCCAACAGACGTCTAACCCCGGTGAGAACTATCTTTTATTTCGGTTTATTTCAAAATCAAGTTTTGAGGGCAAAACACGGAGAAGAGAGAGGGAATGATGTGGATAAAACTTCTGAAGAGAGAGGGAATGATGAGGACATCAGACCCAACAACATCTCGAAACGAAGATATTGACGGAAGCATACCTCGGAGCGAAGCCACCAAGTAAAAGGAAGTTGCTTGGAGTGCAAGACAATTATC